CTTGTTCCATATTTTATCTAATTTATTCGCCATCTTGCTACCTATCAATCATGATGTGGTGTAAAAGACACTTATTTATCACGCAGCCATATTTGGAATTAAATATCGAGTCCAACGAACCACTGAGCGCATCCAGGATCAGGACTGGACTTCGTCGTTCTTCCGATAAATAAATTTTTGAAGAACATCTTTGTCAAAAACCGACTCATCATTCGGAGCTTTCAGAGTATGCGTATGTTTACCGACCTGAGTACCGGCGGTTGACGGTAGCAAACGCCGCTCCGCACACACCGTTGCGCTCAGCTGCAGAAAGCGTCACTCAAGGCCGACCTTTAGCATCGTTTTGTTCGTATCTCTATTTGCGAAAAAAATCATTTCGCGTTATCTTATCGGCTTAAGGCATGTTAGAACGAAGTTGTCTATTCACCATCCGCCAAAAGCGCCTTAAAAACGTCGCCTAGACCTGTCGTTGCATAAAGGAAAAGCAAAAGAATTATTGTTTGCCGTCGAAGCAGACGACAGGCGACTGATTATGGCAGTAAAGCGTGTGCTGATTATTTATTACGTGTGCGAGTATCCCTATGTGAGCTAGCACAGTCTTCGAGCCGTGTGCGACGCTTACATGGTGACCACCGATAGCGGGTTTCGACGAGTCGTACCCTTATAAATAGCTAGTCACTCTTCAACAAGCTAATATGCCGGAGATGAGTTTCGTACATTTAAATCATAATATGCCAATAGTAGAATCATTGTAATTATTATTATTAGTACATTATTTAAAAAGGCTTAACTTGAACGATATAAATCAAGTAACGCTTTATGATACAACAAGTGGCTGGGAACAAACTTTCTTCCGTCCCATTCCGAAGGAATCGATTTGTCTGCGTCAGGTAGTGACATCATCTACCGAGAAAAAATTGTTCATCGACATAATAATTTTTCCACATATTTTCATATTGTACTACAACTTAATACTTTGTAAGGGATAACAATGGAAAACTATTGGAAAAATTATGCTATCTAAACCAATTTAGCTCTTTCATTTCTATCTGTCTTATCTTGTTCAATTTCATATCTGTTCGACAAAAGTCTTTCTGGGGGCAAAGGTAGCGTTTCATGAATCTAATTAGCTGAATTGTCGATAAAAGCGAGGCCGTTAACTTAAACATCAACGAAGTAGTTATTTTCAGTGGTGTCTTAGGAGCAGGTTACATCGAATGTCGCATAATGGATAATATTTGCCCCGGGCAGTAGAACGAATCCCCGCATTGAACGTATTGAATTTACTTGAATATATATATATAGCAGACTTCTATATTGAATCGTTTAGTAAGCTCTATAGCGGCCGTTAGTTAGGGAATTGATATAAGCCTCGGAAGGATGATATCTGTTAAGATATCATCTTTCGGAGATTCTCAACTATTTTTTAAAGCTAATTCCATAAACACAGACTGGATGGTGAGAAAAAACACGTTTTTTTTTTCAACAATGCAATTTCATGCCTTTTCGTATAGCTTCATATATATATATATATATATATATATATGTATAGACGACTTTTACATTGGGATGTTTCGCAAATCCCCTATCATAGTTGCTAAAACTTCCTTAAGAAGTAGTTATTCATCTGCTTTATGTTAGCGTCTGTGAGATAGTTTTACATAAAATCGATTTTTACGGGACAGGTCGCACTCACCATAATATTTTCCCATCAAGCAAAGTTTAAACTAGAAAAATCACCGAAATGGTCCAAGTCATCTTCGAGGCAAGCAGCGCATATATGTTTTTAATGAAAAAAAAAAGATACAAAATACATTTTACTCTAGTTTAGAAATGATTGCCCGATTGTTAAAACTTATTCCAAATTTAGTTGACCTAACGACATAAAAATATCAGATGTATATCCAGCCAAATATTACTATTATCCAATATATATATATATATATAAAGTGGCTTTATAAAGGGTCTAGGGCACTAGATTTTCAAAGTCGACAATAGGAATTACAGAAATAGCTTTCTCAACGTATAACATTTTTACCAATGAATAGAAAATGTTGATTTAGTAGAAAGATAGAATAACTTAAACGTCTAAAATGCTTTACTGAAGCACCGGTACAGCTTCGAGGTAACTAGAAAATCGCTAGAAAACTAGAAAACGCGTAACAAGAAGTGAGTAGTATTACAAAGACTCTATGAAGACTTCATTGTTAAACGTAGGTGCAATAGGATCGTGAATTGTTCATCTTGTCTACGACATTACTAGGACGCTTCGCAAATCCATTCTTCGGGTACTTTTCCTCGTAAAAACTGCCCATATTAGATATAAGTGAATATGATGCATTTGTTTCTTCTGCAAAAAGTTGTCTACCAATCGGTAGACGGTTAGCGGCACTAATTCCTAACGAGCATCTTCTTCGAATGTCCTACCTTCGACGATCTTCGAACAACGAATATCATACAATTCGCTAAACGGATTTTTAGATAAAATCAGGCACGCGCAAGCCTTTCTCCATCCATCCATCCATCCGACACTGGACACGGACGCTTCGTGCAGTTGGCCATATCAACTACCCAGCAGAAAAGTTAAAGCTTTTCATCAGTGACGATAATATGGGATGCTCCTACTCGTTTTTCTGTATGTGCCCAATGCCATGATAGCCAATAGCTACTTGGGCTTCAATTCGTTCATTTATATTTTTGCTCTCTTTTAACATAACTTTAACTAAGACATAACTATTACATTATACATGTAGCGTTATCTATTGGTTTAATATTTTCTTACTTTGTTATTATATGTTTTTGGGAGATAAATAAAACTTATCTTATTCGACTATTTGTCAGATACATATAATACTTGATAGGTATAGCTACTCGTTTATGGTGTTTATACGGAAACATAATAAAATATACACTCACGTATAAACGTCGAGGGAACACATTTTTCACTCGAGATAGCAAAGCCACAAGAAGCTGATAGCTCTCGATTTTTTATTTATTTATTTTTTTTTTTTAATTTTAAATAACCATAGTCATTGAGTTATCTGCATTCGAGGGCAGAGGTCTCGATGGACTGAAATGCTGCTGGCAAAATGCGATAAGTGGTTTGGCACCTAAAATTAGCACTTATTAAAGAAGCGAGAAGTTTCAAGTTGAAAGTTTTGTATAAATTGTTCTCGAAAACACCATCAGTTTAGTTGTCTCTGGCTGTACAAAAAGGAAATCCTCGCTTCCAGGAAAGTACTGTGAACACCAAGATCAAATCTGCTATCGAGTCTATCGGTAATCTATCGAGAACAAATAGTATAAAATTGCGGAGAAGACTCGAAGAAGAAAGTTGGCCTATAATCTCTGTTTATCAACAGCTGTTGACTAGCAGCAGTTGTTGACGCAACTGTTTATTAATTGCGTCAATTATTAATTACTTAAAATATGATTCAGTTTCCACTCCTATATGACTTGAATCGCGCTTCTCAGCCATTCTATGTTACCAACTTCCGTGATGACACTCAGAGAAACATGAGTGCCCGCACATAATGATCACCTTCAGGACTTGAGGGCGAAAAGTGCGACACTATCAATCGAGCTGGTCGTGTTCAAGCTGTCCTTACAAAATCAACAGGACGCGACTCTTGCTTGAAAGGTTTACAATCGTTCTCATAGATAAAGTAAAACTGAAATATAACTTGAAAGCACAGTAGTGGCAGAATTTGTCAGTTTATAACTAGTTATAAGTATAAAAGCGTCTACAAATAGTTAATTTACAAAAAAAATATATATATACATATGGTATATATATTTTTTTGAAGAATAGAAGATAAGAATTATAGAAGATAAGATGACATTGACGGGACGTTTTTTTTTATCCGATACATGGTAAAATAATTGTATTTACGTAAGTGATTACAATAAAGGATGAGTTAAACTGTACAACACAGGAACGTCCTAAGACAATTTCTATATTTTTCTGATACTATGTTATAACGCCACAGAGTCGGTATTTGTCCAAAGTAAGACAATGGCCACCCGAGTCATTTAAATGGGCATGGTATTTTGATAATCGTTGAAAATTACGATAGTTAGCATATCTTCTGCCATTCAAGCGGACGTAAAATGGCGGCTCTCCGCCGTGAACAGTTTGTTTTCGTTGTGTCCTATGGTTTTTATTCTTATTCTGTGCATGTAAATCTGTACCTAAATAACTGAGTACTAATCGTCAATAGGTTCCTCAGCGTTATCTTTAAGAGAGTCAGTAAGCAACATATGAAATAAGATATAGACCCGAATCATGACCTATAAACCTTATCGTTCCTAACTATTTATACAGTGTTTATAGAAATTGTGTGAAACTTTACTTCCACAAATGGAGCAAAGATATTTCGCTTATTTGGTTAACCAGTAGGGCGCTCGGGCCTACTTTTTGACCATACTTATCAGGGGACTATTTACGCACATCGATCGTAGTCACAGCGGCAGATGCTTTTGAAGATATAAGCACACACACTATGAGTGTTATGTTATTTTACGGAACGTGTTACGTCAATTGAGGTACATGAGGATAACCTGCGATGGAACCGAACGATGTTAGGGGCTTCGGCTCGGATCAATAGCGAGAGGAAGCTAATTACGGCACGTTAACTATAACACAACATTACGTCAATGGTGATACTCACTTTTTGAACAAATTTAACTAGGAGCGGTACAAGGCTACCTTCGTATTTGTCATACGTCTCGTGTCCGAATGAAAACTGTTTCGTGTTTTCAACGGAGGGGTCATTTTACTTCATTTCGATTGAGGCTCATGACGATACCAACAGTTCCAGTGGCCTTTTCGTCAAATTACGATAATAGAATTAAAAAGCAAACACCTCAACGAGAAAACATAGCTCAAGGAAGCAGACGCATATTAACAGTAGCCTTAATAGCTGGCATACATAAGGAATGTACGAGAAACTTCAGGAAGGCTAGGTCATCGGTACGGGTCTTCTATTGTGTTTTTTCAGATACCTTCTGAGAACTCGAGGAAGCGCTCCGGACGACCAGCGTCTGCATCGTGTCGGAGACATGACGCCGTTTCGGAACAGAAACCTAATATGTCTTACTCGCACTCCAGTAACGCCGGCTTCATTTACCGCTTTGAAAGGCATGTCGAATTGTCTCAACAGTACTGACAAGCTTCGAAGAGCAGTAGTTTTTTCAGTTTGAAGTAGACATAAGAAGGCAAGAAAAAGATCTGTTGAATACAGCGTCGACGTTCGTCTTTACCAACTGAGCCGATAGGTTTTACCTAGAACTCCCTCAAATAGAATATTCGATACATTTTGACTTCATTCGACCAAATCGAATAGAGTCAAAATGTACCGAACCTAAACATATGATATACCGTGTGATACGATACTGTTGATTATTCTATCCGATGATGTATTTCTATTTACATAGGTTGACAGGTCCGAGCTGCTTGTGGGTGCGGAAGCGCTTCAACAATTACTGCGGCCATAATTAGACAAACCAGTTACCCTGCTGGTTTAACAAATCGCCGAACGACAACGTCGTCACAGCATCTGCCCACGGTTGAAGAACATGTATCCTAAGCGTTGTGCGATAGAACACTGTTCATATGACAAGATAACATGGCTCTGCAGGGCGTTGCATACAGAGACTGCACCAGCCATCGCAGCTGACGTTAATGCTGGCGCGCCTTTCAAATATCTAGGGCCTGTTTCAGGCTAGGCGCTTTTTGGTGGGTTATTCGGCGTTTTCACCTGAATTTAGAGAACCATTATGTGTTAACATCTTTTCTATTTCAGGCCTTGTCAAAATTATACTTTTCGAAAAATTTCTCTAGAAAATGGCATTTTTTGCTCTTCTCTTGCCTATACGGTCAGGTTATACCACATGTTCTTTTTCAATATATAATTTCTGTCGGTGATACTGTCTCGTCTATAGTTGTATTCCATATTCTTACATAGATAAACATCGTACGTTTACTGATTGAGCTAACCACTCTATATGGCATATGCGAGGTTCTTCGCTTGTTTTTTTCTCTATCTGAATTTGCGTTGCCTCTGCTGCCCAAGTCGTCCGCTGTTAACGTCGTTTAACTAACTGGCCATTGTTGGTGCCGTACCTAGGCACAGTGTTCACCGAACGCTTTATGTAGTAACCTCTTACGGGATGACAAATATATCTAACCTGACGTAGCAGACTGTCAACACAAACAATGGCCTTCTCATTAATGGTAGCCGTAATGGTGAGTGTTGATGCAGTAGGTCTCCATCCATGAGGTCAGCGGAGCTGTTAAGCACCTGTTGTAAGCATGACAATTTAGTTGTAGCAAAAACAGTGCCAGTTCTACATACGCGACGGACTTCGTTGACAAAGCAACCAAAGAGCTTCTATTTTATAGGTAACTTCTTTGATATAAGTATAGTTCCTTACATGTGGCGTACTTGTGTACGAAATTATACCCAGTAAGCTATAGAATTCTAACAGTAATCAATCTGCGCTAGCCCGTTTTTGTAGAGGCTTTTTGTTAGAGATCCTTCATGCTCAACTTTCTGCAGGTCCAAACGATTTCTACGATAGTGAAATATACGATACATCTCAGGGATTCGCAGTCATCTGGCCATCTATTTCTGCAGTTAGAAGACCCTGGTCCTTTTCAAACGATATCGCTAAATTTAGCTAGTTTACACCGGTACGTACAGAGTGTTCGGTGCACCACACGATCTTTTGTTGTTTGTAACTTCATTCCTAATCGTACAGGCCATTCTCTATCTATCTAACCTTTAAATGTTTATAGAAAAAAAAAAAACTTGAATCGTACATATTTGTAGCACTAACAACTGCCGAATGAATTCCAAGCGTGCCGTTACCATCCGGATGTCTACACTTTCAACCCGACTATCGGGCAGCTGATTGCCCACGTATACATGAAACGCAATGAACTTTTGGCCTATCGATGTTTCAAACGTTGACGTCAATAGTGCTTGTCGAAAACATCGTTCAGTCTGTTTATAAATGAGCTGCTACTACTACTGACAAATTATTATCTCCGACCCACTTCATTCTCTATGATTACAGACTTATATGATAAAAGACATTCACTTCTTCATTTCTACCAATGTTATTGGTAGAGCGGAGTGAGCTATCGAGTCAGATGAGCCATTCGATAGATATCCGTAAGTTTAATTGAGTTCTCAGCGAGACGGATAGGTTTATAGTAGAGTAAAAAAGCCTGCAAGAGGAAATTTTGTTGCTTGTATACAAATTCATTAAGTATGATCTTAAGGCCGAATTTATAGATAATCATCATATATCTATCCAAGAAAACGTTATTCAATCATATTTTCTGAAAAACTGTTAAAGGTTCAGAAACCTCACAGTTATTGGATACAAAAATGTTAATTGTTGTAAAAATGTTTGACCACTCTAATCAGTTTATTGTCCGTGCAAACATCTAATGCATCGGTAGGATACTCCTCTGACGAAACAATGTCGTCATGTACATGCCACTTCGTACTCGGGTAATTCTAAATACAACTAGTAGTAGTAGTACAAAACATGGCAACGATAACTATTAGTCATATCAAGAAGTTATGCCACCGCCAGGCAAAACCCCTTCAACCTAGGTCGCGGACAGGTATGCACTTGCGGCATCTGCAAAAGAAGAAGGCAAGCTAGTATCTATCCTGGACTGTGAGTTACACATTGAAGTCCTGTCAATTTGAGTGAGGGTTCAAAGGAATACCTGCTAAGCTTTTGGACCTCATTAACGTTTCGATAAGAGATAGCTATTTTTCACCTTTGCTCCTAACCTAACCTAACCTAACCTAGTCATAACAATAATTGCAGATAGAAAAAATTGTTTTTCTATATCGTTGTTCACAGATCGCATATCTATCTATATAGTTCATAGAACTATGCGATCAAGGGTCTTTTATCTACGGTTTTATGTAGCTTTCCTAAAACGACCAATAGGTGACCCTAACATTGACGAGCGTCCTGCTCACCCCTACAGGACTCATGTAAAAGGTACAACGTACAATATATAATAACAAAAATGCCTTGTGAAGGTGGACGAGATACGAAGGCTTAGGCTAATTTACAGTCTGCGCGCTGCCTGTTTTCAAATGCTTTTCATTGGTAATAAACCATTAGTTTATCCAATTTTATCCTAAGCGATCCTTCATAAGCGATTTGTAATCTTCAGTCTATCTCTATTGCACAGCTCTATGTGTGGCGAAAAATTTAGCCATAGCTCGTGAACTGCTGATTTCTTATTGCCAGATTTTGGCCTCGTATGGAGAAATATCTCATCTGACTAACCTAGAATCCGAATGGGTCGGTAAAAAGTATCCTGCATAGAAACCAGGGATATTGAAAGACTTGCGTGGTATGGTTTGGGTGATTTACGAGCGCGTCGCCATAAATATGCGATTTCTACTTCAGCGTCAGCAAATGGTTATTATGCCGATCTGTAGAAGAAATCCATGATGAGTCTAGCAAAGCTCACCATAGCTAAATCTAGTAAGAATAAATTCTTCTAAAATAATGATTGAAAGGACTTGTTCACACCATGAAAGTCGTAATTGTCTTACGGGGGTAATATAAGTAACGTAGGTTCCGCGAGAAGTGATCTCACTTAGGTCTTCTTAAAAGAAGCTTCTGGAGAACAGTCAAAATGAACGCTTCTCTTTAGTGCGTAACTCTGTTTAATCTATGATGTACGACAGATGCATCAACCTAGATATCTAATATATCATCCTAGTTAACAAATAAATGTGACCTATGCTTAAATCGAAGCGTTTGTCCAAAGCCGTAAATTTTCCGAGAAAAATATCAACGAAAAAAAAAACCAACTGAAACTGCTCTTTAGGGCTATTTTTAATGTCCTAATCTCACGATCTGCGAACATTCCTGTGAGACGCTAAATCTATAAAATAGCATAACATTTGTTTCTTAAACGTAATTATTACAATGTTATTTAAGAATTATGCTTATTTATCTCCCTGTTTACGAGCAAAAAAAAATAATATTTGATTTGGCCACCCACTTGCCCTGTTTTTCCACATTTTTATGGTATTGCGTGTCACTGATACATTAGGTTTCGTTTCTTTGCAATCAAAGGCGTAGTCGGTGGTGAATCCGCCCTCGCGGCGGATCTGCGTATGCAGCGTAACGACTCGCCGTTTGAGCTGCTGCAGAGTTTGCGTATCTTGGATTGGATAAATGTACGTAGCATCTATTTAATGTTTGAATGTATTGGTACTTTTATTGGTACGTATTGGAAACACCTTACTTTCTTCTATTTCGAACAGATGTATAAAGCGTCATTTGACAATGAACTTGTTGCTTCTTTGTGCGTTGCGACGACCGTCACACGGGAGTATTAAGTTAGGCCAATTATCCGACTGTATAGAGATCGTGTTGTAGAAGGGCTGCACTATATCCCTATCTAAGTACGTTATGCCACGGAACAATCTACAGTCTACGTCCACTTTATACTTACGTCCTCACTTTACTTCGTGCAAACAGTGATCGACATGTGGAAGCTCTGTACGTAAGTAGCGCTATCTTCAACAATGACAAACGCATAACGGCTAGTACTGACCGAGAAATCATCAGTCGATAATGCGAACTTCAGAAGAATACAATGATGTACCATCATTTCTTTTCACTACCAATTATAACATCGTTAGACGTATATGCATGGAGAAATAGAAGGACAACAGTTAAGAATAAACATAACAACCTTTGCTACATGTGAGCCCTGCGTCCAGATCCATACACACCAAGGCCTTCCGAAGACGTTAACGGCACCTTCAGTTTCTATGTTATTCCTACTACTCTCCTTTTTGCAAGATCTGTAATTTTTTAAAAATCCACCGAAGTGTAGGATCGCTAAACGTACGCTTCCACCGTGCTCATAGGTTTGATACTTATTAATTAACAACATCACTTTTAGATTAACTAGGGACTATACTGCTATCACTATACACAGAATACGACTTTCGCAAATTCTTCTAGAAGTGAATGATCTTTATAACAACAATAAGAAACGGATTAGGCTAACGCGG